ACTCTAGCCCCTGCCCCACTCCCTCTCTCGCCATGGGGGCCTTCATACCGCCCCTTCCCTCTCCCCCCTGCCCCTTCCCTTCCACAGACTTACCAGCTTGCCACTCGCTACGTGCACCAGAGAGAGATCAAATCTCAGGATTTTTTCTTATCAGGAGATCATGAGTCAGAGTTAATTTGACCTGGAAATCAGGAGTCCTGGGATTTTTTTCATGAGAGTTGGCATTACTGTTGCAATGCACAGCTTTGAGTCTGGCCTGATATTTGAGTCACAGCCATTGTCTGCGACAGACTAATTGGGTGAGGACCGAGCTGGGGGTTCTTGTAAGAAAGATAAGAGACAGAGGAGTGAAAAGCTCTAGTATTTCACTGCTCAGAGCTCTCTCAGGCTGTGCTCAGCAATCGAAACCCTGCCCCAGATGATAAAACATCCCTGATTCAAAGGTTCCTTGATGAATAGACTCACCATCTTCTGCCTGGCTGCTCCTTGCCCACGCTTGTCAGCCTAAAGCTCGTGCGTGCTCTGGGATGTGGAAGAAATGCATCTCCACCTTAGCAGTTTGTCCTGGGGGTCCACTTAGCTACAGTTCAATTGAGAGAAGGGAATGGCCTGACTCTGTCATATAGGGTCACATGCAGCAGAGAACCTGCACCTAGAAAGCCAGAGGGACAAAAATGCTCTCGTCTCCCTGATACTTGCAGCTGCACAGTTAGCAAAAGGTTGATTGACAGGAGCTCGTTCTCCTTCCCTAATATTTAAACTAAAGCAAAGGCTCCTATTGAGTCCTGTGGGCTTCAGTTCAATCCCAAAGTGTTTGTTTCCTCCACCTGCCGACATACTTCATTGTACCCAGGGGTGTCAGATCTGTTCCCCGCCTCTCCTCCCCCTTTTCTCTCTTAACAGCAAAGAGGGAATCATGGTTACCTTTGGGCTTCTCTTTCCTGCACTCGGACCAAATTCAGGCTTGCTGCTACGCACGGTCTTGCTGGCAGCCGTTCATGAGTTTTAGCTGAGCAGGCAATATACACAGAAGGGTCTTTTGGCATTAACAGTTGGACTGCACCTTCAGCTAGCAGCTTTGGTGGAGGAGGAAAGGGAGGAACAGGCAGAAGAATATAAGCCCAGCTGCTACGATCTGCATTTGAGTAGAACCTAGAGCCTATTGTGCCAGGCAAGTGTTGTATTGTGCAGAGAGAGGTAGTTACTTTAGCCATGGTAGTCTAAAGTCAGGCAGAAGGCAGAGTAGAGATGCACCTTATAGACTAGCTAAATCCAAGATGCATAAGTTTTTGTGAGCCTGAGCTCACTTCATCATACTCTGTACAAACGCAGTAAGATACAGGTCATGACTGAAAGGGCTTATGGCTTGAATAGAGAAGAGACAGAAGAGATGAAGCGAAGAAGCCAAAGTCACACAACAGGCCGAGCCAAGAACCCACGTATGGCCCTGGTGGACTATACCACCTCTCCAGCCAGAGCTGTGCAAGCCCCATCACGCAAGCAGGCTGCAAACCAAAGTCAGCCCTGGCTTCATGCTCACACAGATGCAGGCACACTGGAGAACCTGGGGCACCGATTAGCTCTTCAGCCCGGGACTGTTCCTTCAAGAGCTGATGGTGGTGAAAGCATCAGTCCCAATTCTCTGACTGACCCCATTTTGTCCCCGCAGCTGCACATTGTCCATTACAACTCTGGCAACTACTCAAGTTTTGAAGAAGCAAAAGACAAGCCGAACGGGCTGGCTGTGCTCGCTTTCCTATACGTGGTAGGTCACGGGGGGGAGAACAGGCATGGGGCTGTATTGCTCACATTGCAGTAGCCCCTGCGAGGCCCAACTGAGAACGGAGCTCCTTGGTGCTGGATGCTGTTCACACACATCATAAGGAGGCAGCTCGTGCCCTCAAGAGCTTTCCCCTTTCATGACAGATTAGAGAACAGCGGTGGGGATGGTCCTTCCTTCCACTGGCCCTTCTGGGAGGGGAGCGGGGTTCAGTGCTTGGGACTCCCGGGTTTTGTCTGCTGATTTTAGGTGATTTATTTAGGCCAAGAGAGACCGTGCGACTTCAGGTCAGACTTTCCCAGTGGTGGGCTTCTAACTCACCTCTGAAACACTGAAATAACGGGCTTGATTTTTCAGAGGTGCTGAGTACCCACAAAATCTTTAGAGTAGCCAACAAGGACTGTAGATGCTCGGTACCTCCGACAACCACATCACTCACTCGGGCACACGCATTCGGCTAGCTACGTGCATGTCCAACTTCAGGTTCCCAAGTTTAAAACTATCAGCTGTGGCATCTTTGTGCCTCCGTTTCCCCTTCCTCATGCTCAAAAGGGTTCCAGCAGCAATGAATCTCCCAAGCCGAACTGTCCAAGCGGAGGGGTAAGACCTGACCGCACATCATTCACCCGCCCCTCCTCTCCTTTTAGGACGGACATTTTGAGAACACCTACTACAGCAAATTCATTTCCAACCTGGCCAAAATCAGATATGCAGGTAAGTCCCTGCGCCCTCCTCCCCCCTCCGTTCCTGGGGTCTGGGATGCCGGTGCCCACGAATGCTGGGTGGGGCAAGCGCTGATGAAGGCAGCCCGAGCCCAAGGAGAGAAGAGAGGACTGATTAGGGTCAGACCTGACCAAGCTTGACTGGTAGATGGCCTGAGATGCTGTAGATGTAGGGTCTCAGAAATATAAGGCGAAGAAAGAGCCACTGTAAATCACCCAGTCTGATCCCCAGGAAAATACCCTCTGATTTTTTTCAGTTAGTTCCTAGCTCTGCCGGAGCGTGTTTTTTGGAAGAATGGGCCCGGTGACCGTTTCAAGAGGACACAACCTCCGAAGCAGCAGGCCCCAGCTTTCCAGCAGCTGGCACTAGCTTAGGCAGTCCCTGAAACATCCAAATATAGCCTGCTCTTGCATGTCCTCTTCTTGCATGACAGCGCCAGGGCCCTGACTCAGCCAGCAAGCCCCAGCTGCTACGGCTGTTCCAGTTCATTTGCAGTTTACAAGCCTCAGGCAGCCCCATTTGTTGGCTCACCAACTACCCTGTATGCTGTGGCTGTTGCTGAGAAAAGGGCGGGCTGCTGGGCAGCTTGCTGCACTTACGTTAAAACCAAAGCAGCGCTGCATAACTAGGCATCCTCAGCCATGCTATATCCCCGCACCTCGGAGGCATCACTCCTGTGAACCCCAGACACAAGGATCCTTATGCAGGATGCCCCTGCTCTTATCACGAGAGTTGCTGCGGGCAGTAAAACAAGGAGATTCCCCCTCCAACCTCAGTTCTTGGATCGGAGAAAATATAAGGCAGAACCCCATTTCATTTCACATGCCCAAATGGCACTCACCCGGCCACATAACGGCCAGCTTCTGCACTTAGGCAGAGTCTGCAACCTTCTTACACATGCAGTGAGGACACACAAGTGTGCAAATGGCTCCTGAGCATGTGCAGTAGGCTGTGCTCTGGTCGGGCAGGCTCTGTCTGTATGTGCCTGAACATTAGTTCTACGCTAAATCGTGGCCCAGAAAAAGCCAGCACCTCTTCCCCCGTGTTTTACCCACTAACTGAAGGGTTAGAGAAGTAGGACACCCAGGGTCTAGGCCCTCCGCACCCAATAGGGTTTGACTCTGTGGCTTTCTGATTTCTCAGCAGAGTGCTGTAGGCATCAGCCCCCAGATCAAGCATTACACATCTGCTCCCCCAGCCTTCCTCTCGAAGCTGTGCCACTGCACCTTGCCCTGGAGTCAATGGGCGGAGAGCCATGGGGAAGCTTTTACCCCACTGGGAACCAGGGGCCAGGTTAGACCCCAAGGATTTCTCCCTTCTAGAGGAGCAATCCCCACACTGAAGACCACGCACCTGCAGCTTGCCTGGGCCCACATCTCTCTTTCAGCTGCAGAGAGGGCAAGCTTCCTGAGGCCAGCTGGGGAGGCGGCTCAGTCTGGGTGCTGAGACGAAGCAAGGGAGGCCTTGGGGGCACTCTAACCACTCACTACTGGAGCTAAAAACTTGGGAGGGCTTTGGTCATCCATCATCTTCCACCCGCTAGTCAGGGGCTTTGCTGGGCATAATTTCAGGACACATGCTTGCCCAGAGTATGCGAGTATGGGGCCACACACCTGCCTCGGCAGCACGCAGCCTGCTCCACATGCTCAGTAGTCACGCTGCTTCATGCCTCCACATTGCATGTGGAGCAGGACGGTAAGCTGTAAACGCTAGAAACCTTACTTGTGCAGCAGGGTAGAAGCCATTTGGGCATTTAGAGGCTAACAAAACTCTGCCTGAAGCAGCTCAGAAAAACCTGGCTACTGCAAGTGCTGAGCAACCCTGAGCACACCAAGCTGGACTCTCCAGCTGGGCAGCCAGCTCTGCTGCAGATCCCCCCGGCACACAAAGTCGCCAGTGCAGTTAGGTCTTTCCAGCAAATGCTAGTGTCACTCAGTGCACACAAAATCCATCCTGGGCTATTTATGGGGAGCTGGGATGACCCCAACCATAGAAAAAAATTCTCTTCTTAATTGTGCTTGGCCTTTCCATGGTGCTTCGCCACCACTGAGGCGTCCAGAGTTGGGAAGGCGTGTTAATCCTGCAGCCCATCCTTGTCAGGTGCTGTTACTGAGAATGGTTTACGGTACGGCAGCACACAGGGACCACGGCACGAGGCAGCGCCCTGTAAAGTAGGAGCTAGCTCAGGTGCGAGGGGCAGTCTAGCTGCGTGAATGTGGCACTCCCCCACCTGTGTTCACTCTCATGTGTAAGGCCACGTGACTGTCTGTCCTACTGGCACCTGAGCTAGCTTGGTTGTGTGCAGGGCTTTGTGATGTGCTGTGTGGAGATGTCTACGGTCCCTTTCCTTTGCCCTTGGCAAGATCTCCTGGTACTTGGGGAAGCGGCTTCTCAAGGCTTACCTCGTGGAGAAGTACTCTGGCCCCACTGTGCTTTTCCTCCGGCACTTACCATCTGCCCCTTGTTTCCACATCCCCCGCCCAGGGCAATCCATGAGGCTCACATCACTGGACGTCCGGGGCATGCTGCCGGAAAATCTCTCGCACTTCTACAGGTACCCAGGCTCACTGACTACACCGCCATGCTCTGAGAGCGTCATCTGGACCGTCTTTGATTCTCCCATCATCTTGTCACCCACACAGGTAACGCTCACTTGTTGGTGGCTGTACATCACTTCTCCTCCTTCGCGTTTGTCCCCAACCTCCCCTCTCCATTTTCTGGTGATTTCCCGACTGTCCTCAATGCAGCAGGGTCCTGGGGAGGCATATGTCTGTCGGGCATTTGGTCACTGAGTGACATCACAGGGGATCTCAACGGAGCGGTGATGCCATAAAATGATGCTCGCTCCTGGACGTACGACCTTCCAGCCAAGGAAGTCAAAGCTCTGCAGAGGCAGCAGTGAGTTAAGGCTCACCGCCCCAAACTGTGCAAGACAGAGCAGTAGTGCCATCCTTGTTTTACAGGTGGGAAATCGAGGCACTGAGAGTAAATAATGTGCCCAAGATCATGGTATTCATCTGTGTTAGTGGGGCTGTCTCTGCCATGGGGCCTGGCTACCATAGCACTGCCACCATAGCTAGAACAGCACTAATCCCATGTTGTGGGCTGAACTCCAGGCCCATGCTATAGCCATTAGCTGTGGCCACGTATAAGTGGATACAGCATTTTTCCTTCCTTCCCTCTCTCCTGGATTCTTGGGAGAGCAGCAGACATTTGCCTCCTTCCCCCTTTTTGGCTACACAGGATATTGGGATGGCCCAGGTAGTGCTAGGCCTGTTGCTTAGCACTGGAGCCCAGGGGGGCAGATCTGTGATGGATTGTGCAGGAGGCAGGGTGCCTGCTGTCTTATTGACCGAAGGCTATGAACAAAGCTAGTAATGCTGCTTGATAGACATAGGGCCAGCCCAAGGCCGGAGCACGGTGCAGGGAGCAACCAGTTTTTGCCCTGATCAGGGGCTAACTCAGTGCAAGGTCAAGAGGGGTAAGACCCCTGTCCCCTCTGAGCCAAGTTCAGCTTTGTGTGTCTTGACCAGCACTGAAATCCACCCAGTGCACCTAAGTTGCTCAGTCTGTACAATGGTAAAACTGCTTACCGGCTTCATGGAGCACTGAGAGAATCACTCGCTCTTTCCAGCCTTCCAGGATCTCGTCCCAGCTCTGCCACAGACTCTCTGCAAGGCCTTCACTTCCTGGAGCCTCAGTTTCTTTATCTGTAAAATAGTTAGAAAAAGCACCTAAGCATCTGAGAGCAGTGCTAGGTGGGGACACCGAGCCTTGCACCACGTTACTAGGATTGGGCTGAATGTTCTTAACCCTCATTTTGACTACAGCTGGCAGAGCAGCTCCCCTGATTTATTATTTATAGGTGGGAATGAAATGAACCTCAGCAGCCATTAATAGCACGGCCTGACTGTCCCTGTTGGAATCAGAGACCGTCTGTTGTCATTCCCTCTGCCGCTGTGAACTTTGCCAGCCCTATGTCCACACAGCACAAGTCAGCCCCGGCATTAGGGTGATGGCAACATCCTCTATAGTTTCAATTTTGTAGACCAAATGTAGGTCCGACATAAGGAGATGCAGAGCCTGTTCTCTCCCTTTCCCTGCCCAACTGCACAAGAGCGGCTGCAGATGCATGGCAGCAAGAGGGGTTTCAGTTAAGATCTCTGCAGCTCCAGAGCATAGCTGCCATTGTTGATAAGGCCCCTGTTCAGTTAAAGGCACTAGTGAAGGAGCCCTACAAAAATAAAGTGGCAGGAAAGCCCAGACTAAAGCAGGCCAAGCTGCTGAGACAGAGTCTTTACCACAAGAAAAGACTGTCTTTACCGCAAGAAAAGAAGTGTCATGAAGCCTCTGGCCAGATTATGGTAATTACAGAATAATGACTGGTATTTTGGGAAAATCCATTTTCTCTTGTTTGCATGTGCACTGTATAAATAGATGAGCTAATTTCAGCTAATGGCCAGTTGCCGGCTTGGGCTATGTGGTGGGTCTCGACCAGTGGTTTTCAACCTGTGGTCCATGGACCCCTGGCGGTCTGCAGACTGCATCTAAGGGGTCCACAAAAGATGACTATAATCAATCAAAACTATGTGAATGCCTACACTTACAAATCAAAAGGGGTCTGCACCTCTATTCAAAATTTTTAAGAGGTCTGCAAATGAAACAAGGTTGAAAACCACTGATCTACACTCTAGCCCAGGCCTTAGACATGACCTGAGTTGTTCCAGGTTCCTAATCCTGAACACAAGGAAGTCCATGGGTGACCATGGATGCGTTGTCCTTTCAAACAGCAATCAGAACCTCTTAGGAAGGACGAGCCTCTGCCTGTCATTGTACCTCACCAAGGTCCAAAAAGTAGGATTTAGTGAGGGACAGAGACCCAAAATAAGGAAAACCAAAAAAAAGAAAGAAAGAAAGAATAAGGGGGTTTTGATTGATGGATCATCATTTTCCTTTGATGAATAATGTTGCCTGCAGCCTCTTTAAGGCAGGAAAAAATGAGTGAAGAGGCTCTGTTGGTGGTGAGCAAGGTGGATTTGCATCTGAAACAGGCGGCTGTTCATTCTAATGGGGGAAGCTGAGAGACAGAGATAGCTGTGGTCAAGCAACACAATAGGAGGAATTGCAAAATTCGCCCCCGTGGATAGTGATGGGCAGGTGCTCACAACAATTTCCTCCTCCAGCTCCTTTGGCCAGTGGCAGATTTAGCTCCTGGCTTCCCTGCTGTTCTACTCTTTTGTTTCTTTGCCTTGCTAATGCCACTCTATCGTGACATGCAATGTCTCAATTCAGTTCTGCCAATCAAGTGTCGGGTCTGATCTGCAGCTCATGAGCCACTTGTCTGATGAGGGTAGTTTGCTTTTTAAAAGTCATCTATCCATTTCCCCTCTGTTTCCTGTGCTGTGTCTTGCTTAAAGATTAAGCTGCTGGAGAACACCTTGCTGGACTGGCAAAACAACACCCTGCGAAACGACTACCGGCACGCACAGCCCCTCAACGACAGAGTGGTGGAATCCTCCTTCAAAGCTAAAGTGGAGCCAGGTAACATGGGGGCGAGGGGTGGGGTTGTCTCCAGGTGAGGCTGAGGCCAGGAAAGAAATGAACAGAAAGAAGCATTCATGCAACAGGAGAAATGATGGGCAACGGAGCATGGGTTCAGGGTAGGCAAGAGGATCAATTGTGGTCCCAGGAAGACTGGTGGCAAAGCTCTCATCGACATCGGTGGGAGCAGAAATTGGCTTCCCATTGCATGGTTGCTGTTGCACTGTAGTTCCCTTAAAATTTGACAAAGACCATGTGGGCAGCAACTGCTGTGTTCCCTCAATGAGATTCCCCAACACGCCCTGTACAGGAGGCAGGTCCTGCGCAACAGAGAGACTCCCCAGTGTTTCCAGCATTAGGAAGGCCCAGAAGTGTCCCTGTGGCGTGTACAAACGTCCCCCCGTTACCTGTGGATCTGGTTGCAAATGCTGTTGTTTCATTGCTCTAGAACTGTGTCACCCAGAAGACCTCACCTTGAAACTGGAGCAAATACAGGCTCTGCTCCAGGACGTGAAGAAACATCTGTTGGGGGGAGTGCACCTGACAGGTAAGAAATGAGCACCTGCTTATTATTTCTGAGAGCTTCATTTGCACAGGAAATCACTCCCTATGTCCCTGAACCGAGGACCTAAGAATTGCTCTGTCCTGGCTGCCTTAAAATGTCAGCGGACACTATATGGACATAAGAGAGTAGAACCCGGTCCTTTGTCTGGTCCAGATGAAGTTTTGAGAGACAGCAACAACGCTCTGCTCTTCCGTCTCCAAAGTTCAGCACGTTATGTTTTTTCAAACATTAAAGAGCTAAAACGTATGGCATCCCTATAGCATACGTTGTCATCAGCCGGAGAGGGAGCTCACTCACCTGCTCAAAGCAAGGCAGCAAGACAGTCAGGACTACAACTCCCGAGTCACTGGCTTACGTTTTCACAAGACTGTCCCTCCCGACAGCTTGTAGGTCAGGCCCTAGTCTTGTCCCCTAACATACCTTGTAGCACAGGGAGCCTTTAAGGATATGTAACGACTGCCCCTTGCTCGGTTATTTCAGGTGCTCAATCTAGCGCTTTCCCAGCGTTCTTCTTCCCTGCTGACAACATCGAGAGCTACGTGAATATCCGGCCCCTCCGTGCCATGGTGCTGCAGTCCTTCACCCTGTGCTTCTGGATCCAAACCCAGAACCGTGGGAGTCAGACGGTTCTCTCCTATTCCACCCCAGAGAGAGACAATGAGCTGGTGGTGACCGTGGGGTCAGACGTGGGGCTGTGGGTTGGGGGCCATTTTATTAACTTCTTCCTGCACCATAGGTCTGAGGAGTGGCTCCACTACTGTGTATCCTGGACATCCCACTCTGGGACAGCAGATCTGTGGATTAATGGAGCAGTAGGGAGGGAGAAGAGTATCCAGAAGGGGTACGCGACCCAGGCTGGAGGGACCCTTGTCCTCGGGAAGGACAGAGACAATCTTCTTGGGATCTTCTCCAACAGGTTCATAGGCCGGATGAGCCATGTGAACCTCTGGAACAAGGTTCTTAGTCACGCCGACGTTCGAGCACTTGCTCTATGCAAACGCAATGAGCTGAGAGGAGACGTCATCGGATGGGGGGAGACCCCCATGAGTGTCTCAGGAGGAGTGGTGCTGGAGACAGATTCCAGTTGCCATTGATCCTCTTCTCAAGTGCCTGGTTGAGGTGGTACCGGCTTCGTGAAAACAGGGGAAGCACAGTGTATTACTTTTCTCGAATCACTGGTGGTTGTACCTCCTGCTTTTAGCTTCATGAAACACTTGTCATAGTGCTTCGCTTTGCTTTCTGCAAGGGCAAGGCAGGGGTTAAAGCCTCTGTTATTGGGGTGCTGGTGGGGAAACCAGATGTGAAGAAATCCGTGCAGTCTAGTGTCACACGCCATAGACAGGCACACGCTTCAAGCACGCGGCATTTCAGAGCACTTCAAATTCAGTGCTGTGTAGGCATGCGCCCCTTACCCTTGACGCACTTTAAAATGGCCACGAACACATGAAACAGTGCAGCCCTCCAGCCAGGGGGCCAGAGAGCAGGCATCCCTGCACACGCCTCTGGGCTGCAGCAGTTCCTGCGGACAGGAGAGTGCTCGCCGGCTGTCCACCTTGCTCCTCCCTGTCTCCCACAGTGCTGGCTTGTTGGGAGTGGTGCACTGGGGGATGCTGGAGGACCACTGAGCCACGTAGACATTTCAGGATGCACTTTGGCCATTTTTGAAATGCTTCTGCAAGCACGCACATCATCACCCTTGGTTTTTGGAGTACTTTGGAGCACTTCAAACGTCACACCTGTCCAGGAGCACGTACCAGGAGTATGACTTGACTAAAGTCCCTCTGGCCTCTGGAAGAAAAAGACACTGCCCCACGGCAGCTTCATACGTGGCATCATCCTGTGTTCATGAGTTAGGACCCCTTTTGCTGTGTGCACTGCTTATTTTTCCCCTCCTTCCTTGTTACCTGCATTCAGCTGCCTCTTCTCTCCGCTCCCAGCACCCTTGTGCAGGGTATCCACCTGCCTTGTGTCTAGAACTGACCCACTCTTTCTGCATTGATGTCTTCACGGGGATTAAACACTCCTTCCTCTTCACACCTACAGAGTCATGTCATTCCACCTCTTCGCCATCAAATCCTCTCTCTGCCCCATCCTTTCCTACCTGCCCTCGGCACTGGCTAATGGGTCAAGCCAGATTATATCCTCGAGGAAGGACTCTTTGAAATGGTGTCAAAGACCTGCTGGGACAGAGGCGGCATAGGGGCTCTTCGCCCTAGTTTATTGCCCATTCCTCTGAAAGGAAATCAGTGACAAAAAGGAAAACTGAGCAGTCAGAGAGCATTGCAGAGACCTGAATCACTGGCTGCTGTGTTGAAACAAATCCACAGGCTCCTAGAAATGTCAGGGCCCTCTTGTGGCCATTGTGCATTGCAAAGGCAGACACAGGACTCCGATTCTCCTTCCCTAGCTATATAAGAGCACTTAGGCTAAAGGCCTGTCTCCACCTGCAAGCCCGTGAGAGCTGCTGCTGATCAGCTGTTTCTTTCCAGCAGATGGCAGCAACACGCACGCTTCACCTCTGAATGGCGCTTGCTAGCGATGGGTAGCAAGGGCAAGCTTTCAGTTTTGCACGACAACTTCCAAACGTGCGATAACCGGCTGTGCAAAACCTAGTTTAGCAAACGTGCTAAAAAGCTCCCATCATTCTGCCCTGCCCCTGTTCTGCGAGCCGACGCTCTGCTGCGCTCAGACAAGCTGATGCCATGCAGAGACAAGGCTGTATCTGTTCCTTGGGAGCTCCCAAGCTGGAAGCAGCGCGGCTGCATTAGTGCGGCACTGTGCGTGCACCTGAAAACCCTGTACAGAAGTCCAGATGGGCATGACTTATACTAGGCTGGTACTTGGGGGGGGGGGTTCTGGGAGAAGAGCTTTTTGTGCCCTCAAGCAGAAGGGTTTTAAAATGAAGGAACCAGCCACCTCCCCCTGGCTGAGTGCTGTGCCCTTGCTAGCTTTCCCTGCACACTCAAGCACAGTGCTGGTATGGGGAGCTGCTCAGGGTGGGCTGACTGGGTACGGAGGATCCATATGTCACATTGAGCCTTGCAGCGCGTGCGAAGGGGTGACTACTAGGGACTGCCTCTGCCTATTTGCCTTGCCTCTTGAATGCTACTGCCAGCTGGACGGTCCAGTCTGTCACACCAACATCCTAGGCCTGTCACGACTCCTTAGCTGAATGACGCTGCTGTATCCCATGCATGTGAAATACATGTGCCCATAAATTCAGTGCATGGATTTGCTGGTTCTGTGTCACCAAGGCCAGGCTGAGGTAACACCGCAATGTGTTTGGAGGGTTTGTGGGATGCCACATGCTGAGGATGGATACATTTCTTTGTCCTAAAGGGGCAGGTGCTGGGATGCTTCTCAACCAGAGGCTTGTCCTGCAGCAGGGCGTCTTCTAGGGAAGCCAGGCCCAGCTCCTGCAGAGACTTATCCTCTGAGTTCGAAGCCTGAGGCATGTGGGCTGAGGAGCAGCAGAAGGAAAGGAGTTGTGGTCGACAAGGGGAACAGATGTGGGGGTGAGCAGCCAATGCCTGGACTGCCTGTTGGCAGGGGCAAAATAGAAAAATCCAGTGTCTTGGCTGCAAAGCGTGTGTGCGCACATGTATGAGCACATATGAATGACTGAGGAGGGTCCTGGTCAGTCCAGCTCTTGCTCTGCAGGGTAGCAACTTGGCAAATCATGGTTATGCTCGTGTCTCCAGAGCTGTCTGGTGGACTGGTGGCTGGGTGTCCAAACTCCCCACTTGGCATTGCTGCTTTCCCTCCCCAGGAGACCGAAGCGAGTGCAGGCTCTGCACCATCCAGTTCATGGGAGTATAGGGATCCCCCTAGTCAAAGGGGAGGCTGCAGGGAGGTCTGCAGTGCTGCTGCTGCAGCATACCCTGCCCTGTCCTGCTGGCATGTCCCTGCCTGGTTCTGTCACTCCAGCTCCCTCCCTGGACACGTCCCTCAGGAGCAAGAGTCCAAGGGAAACGTAAGCACGGTTTCCTTCCCCATGGTCCCAGGCACTTGCTCATTCCTTTTGTTCATCCCTTCCAACTGGCTCACCAGCCTCAGGGTAGGCTGATGATCCAGGCAGACCTAGACAGCTTAGTTAGATGGGCGAACCAGAACCAGACGCAATTCAACACTGAGAAGTATAAAGTGCTCCATCTGGGGAGGTAAAATCTGCAACAAACTCACAGGCTTGGTGGTGCTACACTAGCTAGCGCCATGTCCAAAAGGGACCTGGGGCTCATAACTGAACATAAAATGAATACGAGCCACTAGCGTGACGCTACAGTTAGCAGAGCAAACAGTACACTGGCATGCATCAACCAATGCATCTCAAGCAAAACTAAGGGAGTTATTCTCCCGCCCTACTCGGCGTTGGTCAGGCCGCAGCTGGAGCACTGCTGCAGTTCTGGGCGCCGCACTTCAAGAAGGACGTGGAGAAGCTTGAGAGAGCCCAGAGAAAAGCCACTCGTATGATCAGAGGACTGAAGAGCAAGCCATACAAGGCAAGGCTGACAGGTACGGAAATACTCAGCTTAGAAAAGAGAAGTCTTCGAGGGGATTTGGTGGCAGCTTTTGGTGAACAACTATTCACCAAAGCACCCCAGGGGCAAATGAGGAGCAATGGTCAAACTCCTAGGAGAAGGTTTCAGACTGGATATAAGGAAAAACTTCTTCACGGTTCGTGTGACCAGACTCTGGAATAGACTCCCAGTGAGGGTGGTGCAGGCATCTACCCCGGAGATGGTGAAAAGGAGCCTGGATGCACACCTTGCTGGGGTTATTTGACCCCAGCAGTCTTTTGTGGCCAGAGCAGGGGGGGCTGGACCAGATGATCTCACGAGGTCCCTTCCAGCCCTAAACTTCTGTGAATCTGTGATGTGAAGGATTTTCAGCCCAGACCCAACAAGCAGGTACTTCCCTCCCATTGAGTTCTGTAAACACCCTGAAGGATCTGCGCCTCACTGGCCAGTTTGCTTGCGGTGGCGCTGGCTGGAGGTGGGTCCCATCTTCCACCAGACACAAGTCATAAGTCTTTGGAACAGACCACATCCGACCTGGGCGTGCAGTTGTGCTTTCCCTCTCGCTCTCGTGGCAGAGACAAATGAGTGACTGCCAATAAGAGCAGGGTGGAGATTACAGCATGATGGAGAAGTGGGTTAATTCCCATTGCAGTGATAGATGCCATGTGCCAGCTACAGTCAGGCTCTCCAACTTTCTGAGCCTGACAGCCCTTGTCCATCTGAAAAGAGTGGATGTCCTGGTAATTACTGCCTGGGCTGCTGGGAGCATTCATCTATTCATGGGTGTAAACAGCTTGCCGATCCTTGGATGAAAGACCACTACAGAGAGGGAAATAATTGTCATTCCAGTAATGACAGGAGCTGCAGCAATCAGTCAACTACTAGCTCATCCCTAACTCCTTGCTTGCGGGCCCAAGCCTGGAGGCTTGGGGTTCACATGGCCCCTAGTTTTGCTTGCCTTTAGCCATAAGGCCCTTGGAGCAAGCAAGGGAGGAGCCTCCCATTTCCATAAACTGGGCTTAAAGCCTCTGCACCTCGGCCAGTACTGAACCACATTAGAAGAGCAGTTCTGTGAGGCGGCTCAGGAAAACTGCCTTCTTGGACACAGAGGATGCCCGCCAAAGGTTTTGGAAACATCTGAAGCCCCAGGCGTAGGTGGAGGATGTTTGCTGGTAGTAGGGCCACTTATGGTTCTGGACTCTTGGATTTGAACTTAGTTTTGGCTAATTTGACCTTGGATACAAATTATATATATAAATCCCTAACTCCATATATACACATACATATACATATACATCTATATATAAATCCCTAACTCCTTGCTGTTACTGACTCAGGATGCAGAGAAAGTGGCAAAGATGGAGAGGGGAGCAGCAAAGAGGATTACATACCGGTTGTACAAGGAGAGGCAGAGTGAACCAGGCTGTTTAGTTTGGAGAAGAAAGGAGCAGTTTCCACAGTTGAAAGGCTATCCTAAAGACAAGGAAGCACAGCAGCTCTCCTCCATGGCACAGAGCAAGACGTAAAGCAGGGGGCTTACATTGCAACAGAAAGCAGACTTAGATGCGGTCTCAGAAAACCACTGCCTTACTTTTGGAACAGCGGGATGATGGAGCCAGCTGCCCAGGGAAGTGCCTTCACCGGAGGTGTTGACAAGGCTGGAGAAGCATTTTCCAGGGATGGCTAAGAAACAGAGTATCCCGCATCCATGCAGGGATCAGCCTAAATGAATCTTGAGGTCATAGGTGCTGACTTTTATTTTTGCTGGGTGGGAGGCCCAAGATGACACCCCCTCTCCCGGCCGTGGCGCAGCCAGAGCAGAGCTGAGTGGAGCCCGCAGGGGTGGATGTGGGCTCCCCACCCTGCTACCCGGGGAGCACAACTCAGTGCCACCACCCCTGCTGCTGCCAGGTGGGCAAGGGGTGCCTTGCCATGACGGCACAGCCAGCATGGGGTCCCAGGGGAGGGCAGCAGGATGGGGATCCCCAAGGCTGTAGCAGGCAGCCCGCATCCACCCCGTCCTATGCATAAATCTTGTGGTCATGTGCCCTACCCTGTATACCTCCCTCCCTGGGGGTGCACGCCGTGGCAGGTAGCCACTCTTCTCCACCTCTGCCCCCTGGACAAACTACCCATGGCTCTGTCCCGCTTCCTGCCCTGGCCCCGGGTCCCACGCACTGCCCTGGCTAGGCAGCACCCCCAGGCCCAGCCCCTGCCCCACTTCTTCCCTCACCATGGGGGCCTCAATCTGCCCCCCCATAGACTTACCTGCAGGCAGCGGGGGGAGCTGTATTCCTGGCCACGTGCATGTACGTGCCTGCACACATGCACCTGGCACCCCCTGCATCCCGCTCCCCGCAGCCTCGAGCTCTGCCAGTCCGCAAAGGGAAACCTGCCATTTCCCGTATTTTTCCATGGTGAACGAAAAACCTGGATCACTGCACAGTGCTAGGAATCCAGCACAAATTCTGTCTCAAAGTCATGCCATCCAGGACCGGGACTTGATGTCCCCATTTCAGGACTGTCCTGCCCAATTAGGGACATGTGGTCACCCTGCCCTTGGCCCCCACGTACTTGGCACCTATGCTTCAATTCCCTCTCAACTCTAGGGTGCTCCTTCTAACTGTCCTATTGATCATACCGCTAGGTGGCAGCCGCAGCTTTGGGATGGGAAAAGACACAGTTGGACAGCAAGGGACACTGCTGGCGTAAAGAGACAGCACAGAGAACGGTAGGTGACAGACCACAGGTTGCTACCTACCACTTTCCTAGGGCTGGAGTCCAAGTAGCAGGGCTGGTACTTTGACAAGCAGCTGTGTGCAATGCAGGCTGTGACCTGTGTGGATCTCTTACTGAGGGGCAGGACCGAATCCAGTACATGCACACCACTCCATGCTCACTCCCCCCGGTAGGTGAGAGGGAGTTTACTCTGTTTTCAGAGCAGAGGGAACTGCCTGCAGTGCACACCAGACTAGAGCATCCACGTGGTGAGAGAGAACAGAGTAACTAGTGCACTGTCAAACTGCTCCCCTCTTCAGCTTCTTGCAGACAGGCCCTGCATTTCTCCAGCAGTGAGGGGGGGACATTTCCCACCCTTTGCAAAAGACTCTGAAATCCACAGCTGAAGAGGTGTGTGCATGCAGCTGGCATTCGCTGATGGGAGCAATCCAGCTGCTAGAAAGAGCAGCCAGCCTTCTGCTCAGCCACAACACAGGCTTCCATCTCCATCAGATGATGCAAATAAGGCACTAAATTAGTATCTGGCTAGTTCTGGCTGAAATTCAAAAATGCAGTGTATATGAACACTTGTGTGCAGGCACATGGAGCAATAGATTCCCACAAGCCAAACCAAACAGCCAGACACTGAGTGGCATCCGCCCTCCGGACTAGTGCAGTGAGATCCGTCACCCCAAAGCAGAGCACAGTGCTGAGCAGAAGGAAGGAAACTACAATTGTGCTGCCTGTTAATACTGATACCGAACAACAGGTTTATTCAGCATGTGGAGCTCCCTGGCCTGGTCTCTGGACAGAAAGAAAAGCTACAAATCGGATTGAGAAGCTGGAGACTTAAGTCCCTTGTTTCCATTTCAAGAGGACAGACCACAGGACAGACCATGTGTTTTCTTTTTACTGGTGGGCACTTGTGATGGGGGGGACCCAGGGAGCTGGGCTTGGAGGGAGGTACCACAGGGACTGAACACTGTCCTGCTAGCATTCATCGTGCTCTTTCACTGGTAAGAGTTTCTCTTAGATGAGAAAGGTCATTGTGGGCATGACCCTGCGCTCATTCTCCATTGCACCAGCGCTGACCGAACTCCATTTACTGCATTTTAATCCCGGACTTTTTGTTCCATTGCATCCTGGCTTTTACATGACTATCCCAAAGCACTTCCCCAAAACCCCTGCTTGCTGCTTAAATACCCAAAAACCTGCCTGTCTTTTCCAATGGCTCTTTGAAAAGCTAGAGTTTGGGCATCCATAAACAGCAGACTACTGGTAGAGATTAGCAGCCATATCACTATCTTTTAGCTTGCCCAAGGCCAGTTTCCCCACTGCCCTTGTACTCTTAGCACTGCAGTCCCTCCATTTCACATCCCTTCATTTGGACCTTAAAGCTAGTGATGGGCAGCAACATCTTCGGCAGGCACAAATGCCCAAACCAGCAATAAGTTTCCTTTCCTGGGATGGGGAAAAGAACCTGAGTTTAAGTCCTTCCTGCTCTATTTGGTTGGGGATTGTGTCTCTGGGGCTGCCAGTCTGACCTCTTCCACCAGGTCTAAGTTCAGACAAGAATGGATGTGATGATACAAGAAGAATCAGCTGGATTGGGTCCTCAGCTCCTCTCTCTTCTTCAAAGCAGGGATGTCATATTTCACAAGCAACCTTACACACCACAGGGATACGGTATATCGCTATCATTCTCCTCTCCCTTCAGTAGATCCCCCTGGCATTATTCCAGAATTACCCCCGGGTACGAGTCCAAACTCATCCTCTGCACATTAGAAATATTTTTCTCCCATTTTCCAAGCTTAAGGGTAACATTATGCTGGCAGTAAAAGGAGGCAAGAAACACGATGCAGCAAGCAGCCCTCAGTATCGACACGCCATCTTAAAAAGATTTGTTTGCACATAACATGAAAATTGAGATGCGCTTCATATATTTGTGTAAGCAAATAGCAACTGCAAACAAGCAATGATGGAGAATTGTCCTCTGGGTCCTTCATAAAAAGTCATGGCTTTTCCTCCAGATACTAACGGAGCATTACAATTATCAGTCACGCTTTCGGAGAACACGCTGGATCTCCCAGAAGTGCTGTGTTGTTAGAAGCAAAGGGGGGTTATTTTGCCTCCTTGTTACAAAAACACAATTGCGCAGTGCCACCAAGAGGGAAACAGATGTCAAACACTTCACGGCTGCAGCTGTCCCTGTCTGGTGGATCTGGTCTGAAGACAAGTAGAAAGACTAATCTTAGGATCTGTCCAACCTCTACTGAACGAGACTTATTTCCATGGGTGATTTCAGAGGTTTAATAGTTTGCTGACTACCATGCCCGAGGAAGTTTTGTAGAAACCTGCCGATTCAGGGAACTGGCACTTCATGAGTCTGATTCTTCTCTCATTCACACCAATGTAAATCAGGAATAATGCAAATTAATTTAAGGAATGAAGGGAGTTAGGAGCAGAAGGGGACCTATGGAATGGCACCAAGACAAAAAGTCTATCAAAGATCGACTGCGGCTTTGGCAACATGGTCACAGACCACCTTTCTCCCTCCCGGGCACGCCTGATTTCCTGCATCGCCTGGACGGTTTCAGATTCATTCTCACCCAGTCCTTTGGATGTCCCCTTGGGCCAGGATTTCAGGCTCTCATTTTTGTGGGTTCAATGCAGGTCACCTTGGCAGAGGTAATACTGGATTGCACCAATAGGAAAGGTGCTCAGGCACCTGAGCACCATCTTTTTTTTTTTTTTTTTTTTTT